CCAGTTGCACAGTGTCATCCCTTATTAATTAATGGGCTGGGAATTTTGTATCCTATAAAATCCACCCACCCACATCTTCCACAGAGATCACTGGCAAAGTGTGTTTTACCAGTGATGTGCAGTAGACACCCATCTATCATTGAATAGAATTTAAGCCTTAGGTTCATTATGTCTGCATAACAATAAAATATAAGGGGAATACAATAAAATAACATAAATAAATGCATATATTTTACAATACAAATAATATGAACATTAACATACATATAATAAAATATCAAAAGAACACTCATTTATTAAATAAGCATGTAGGCATATTTTATGCCTTGTAAATTTCCTACTATTTGAGGCTACAGTAGTGAGATCATATGCTCTGCCATATTCCTCTATTTTAGGAAGAAATGACCTATGTTCCCCAGCTCTTCAAGATTTCAGGTTACTCTCAATTTCTTTCATTATTTTCATAAAATTTTACTACTTTCCTAATAAGCTTAAAACTCACTCTTTGTAAACCATATTGCTGTGAAATATGAAATGAAAATATAAAGAATTATTAAATCCTGAAAAGAAACGAGTTAAAAACTAGCACTAACTGAAAGTCAATTTCTCTCTGTCTCTCTGTCTCTGTCTCTCTCTCTCTCTCTCTCTCTCTCTCTCACACACACACACACACACACACATACACACACAATTTTGAGTATTTGGGGGTTAAGGGAATGCAAACAAACTATTCATATATTTTATCAGGAAGTTGAACTGATTTGGAAAACTCAATGGAATGTTGTGTAATCAAAAGTAAAAATGACAAGCATACAAACAGAAAACTGGTTCCAAGAAGGACAAACTTGTTTTTCAACACTAGCTGAGTAGTCCTGCCCAGATATGCTGAGCAAATGCCTAGATCGGTCTCTGCTTTGGTGGCTGAGCACTATCCTCATAGGAAGTGATATTGGCATCATTAGTTCCCTTGCCAGTGGTGCACAACCTCACTTTGACATGACGACTGCTGGGCTAATAACACAGGTCTCCCAGTGGCATGGGAGTATAAGATTTTCCTATGAACCATTGCATAAAAGCATGTTTTGTCATTTCCCTCAAAAGCCAAACACACATGCACACACACATACATGTGTGAGCATATACACACATACCATTGAGTTTTGCCAAAAACATTTTTTCAGATTTTGCATTTGCATGCATATGACAAATGCTTGAAAATTACAACTCAAAATTTTCTTCTGCAACTCCTTTGGTAAAACCGATAGCAAGGATGAAATATCTTGGTTTGTCTTCACCACTCAATCATGTAATTTTCACAGATCCACTGCTTTAAGCAAGCAGTTTCTCAGTAGCTTCATGGAGTCAGAACTATTTTTCCTTTCGGATGATAAAATATATATTTTATCAGAAAATAAAGAAAGTTTTAAAAGAAAATGAATGAATATTTAATAAAACAATAGACTCTACAATAATACATTCTTAATATGGATCTTTGGATATAAAGGAATGGGCAATCAGCTCTGAGACACACAGAATGTCTGGTTGATCCTTCCTGCTCATTTCATCAGCCATATAATCATATAATTCTTAACATTTTACATTTTTTATACCCAATTTAGAACATGATGCCAGAGACTTCTAGACATTTCTATTTGCTGCTTGCTAATAGTAACCCTTATGTAGTTTGACATCCTATTCTCTTCTCTGTAGGGTCCTCACCACCATCATTTTTTCCACATACACTATTACTACCTAGAAAGGGAAAGATTTTCACTAAAATTCCATGTAACCCAGTCTGACCTCCCTAGATGATGCCCTACCCTGAAGTTTTCTTAATCTTCTTCTTTTAAGCTTACCTACCACCTCATTTTCTAGGGTACCATATTCAGCTTACTATTACACAGGGAACATCTGGAAATCTCATTTACTTTAAGTTTCTAATAGCTGAAAGGAGTTAGATTTTTTTTTTTTTTTTTTTTTTTTTTTTTGAGTTGGAGTTTCGTTCTTGTCACCGAGGCTGGAGTGCAATGGCGTGATCCTGGCTTACCGCAACCTCCGCTTTCTGGGTTCAAGCAATTCTCCTGCCTCAGCCTCCCGAGTAGCTGGGACTACAGGTGTGTGCCACCATGCCAGGCTAATTTTTGTATTTATAGTAGAGAGGGGGTTTCACCTTGTTGACCAGAATGGTCTCGATCTCTTGACCTCGTGATCCACCCGCCTCGGCCTCCCAAAGTGCTGGGATTACAGGCGTGAGCCACCGCTCCCGGCCAGGAATTAGATTTTTACCCCATATACACAAGCCCTAGAAGATTTGCATTTTAATAGGGGACAATTCTTTCATAACTCAAAGGAATGGAATGGTTCTAACAGCAGAATTTTAAGCAACACTGAGATCAGTGGAGGAAATATTTGAGGTGAGAATGCCTATCATCAAACCATAACACTTGAGATGTTTGTCTTTTCCATGTAAACTTAAGCCCAACTTGAATAAAAGCCAATATTCATGTTTGAACAAGAATGGAAAGAGAATAAAATTTAAAGCAAAAATCAAAACTGTCAAATAGTTGAATAACCTTATTTCTTAATGGGATGCCTTATTCTCTCTCAGCTTCTTATCTTTGCAAAGTGGTATTGTTGTTAACTACGTAGCTCTTCTCAAGTTCATTGTATCTTGACCAAGGTGGCCCTCACCTTGATTAAAGTTTAATAGGTTTCTTTCTGACCTTCAGCAGCTCCTGATCTCCCTTTTCTTAGAGCATTTACTTTAGAAAACTGGAAAACTAGTCATTGGAAATTCTTTCTCTGCTCTTTTGAGATATAATTCTTTTTTCTTTTTTTTGGTGAGGGGTGGTGTGAGGAGACAGGGTCTCCCTCTGCCAGCCAGGCCGGAGTGCAGTAGTGCAGTTATGGTGCTCACTACAGCCTCAACCTCCTGGGCTCAGGCAATGCTCCTGTCTTGGCCTCTCAAGTAGCTGGGACTTTTACAAGCCACTTTCCAGTTTTACAACCCATAAAACCTTTCTCAGGGAACTGGGAGCCATCCCTTTGAAATGTAATCATCGAGAAAGATAGTGCCCCATCTCTCCCAGTTTCCATGGAATGATAGGAGCCTAACTTCCTTGGGCTCCTTGCTCCACATTGTGAATCTACTTCCTGTCATGGAGATATAAGACCGAAAGTTTATGTTTTTTGGGGGAAAGACCAATCTGCAAATACAGATGTCCTGTGATTCCCCACACCAGCCGTTACAAACACTCCTGCGTTTTGTTTTAGTGGAATTGAGTTCAGACGCAGTTCCAATCTCTCTCTCCTATTGCAATAGCCTTGAATAACGTCTTTTTTGCCTGTTTAACTTTGTCTAGTGCAAGTTTTGCTTTGACCTTCACTTCTTGGGTAGATATAAGCAGGTGTGTATAATTTGTGTATGTTGCATGAGGAGTCTTTCATGAAGCAAACATCCTGAGCACAATCCATCCAAGGAAACAAAGAAAGCATGATACCTTTTTTTTCCACATCAACGGCGGTTTCCTTCTCACTTTTCTTTTTGACATCTTCTTTTTCTGCTGGTAAAATAAGAAAATTGTAAGTCTTTACCTGTTTAACTTGCATGTATTTCAGGGCATGCATGGCTACCATTGAGGCATCCAATTCATCTCGTATAGAGGAATCCTAAATCAGCCATAAGTCATGTCAAATATGAATAAGGTAGCACATTCGTAACAGACTAGTTAGCTTAGGTATAATTCCTCTTTAGGAAAAAGAATTTTTTTTTTTTTTTTTTGCCAAAGGCAAAAAAGATTTAATAACAGTGAAAACATTAAATGGCATTATTATGGTATTATTTAACACCTTTCATAACATATATTAAAAATAACTTATTGAATATTCTCCGAGCTATAAGGTCACAAGAAGCATGTCAAAAGTTCTGAAATATCTGAAGTTTACTTAGGACATCAGATGAATTATTTGAAAATAACCAGTTTAAAATATATATATATATATATGTAAAACAAACCAGTCAAATATTTTCTGCCTTCTACATAAAATGACTTGATCTTCTTTTGGTAGACTTTTAAAATTAAACTGAATTAGTTAAATATTAACCATCATATTCACACATGTAGTTAAGTAAAGTAGTGAATTAGAGAGAACTGAGCAACCGATCTAAAGAAAGGAAAAATAATCACAGTAGTAATTTTCAAAAAGTGTTTAGGCTTAAATTCTCTTTTTAAAAATTGACAATTTTAATTTTATTTGGAATACTTAAACATGTTAAGAGTGTTCATTAATAACAATGACAATACATTTATTAAGGAAATTTCTTTCCTAGAAAATAATATGTTTACCAGTAGTGTTATGCATAGATACTAATTGGTTTATTTGGTACACAGCTTTTAAATTTCTTACCTTTCTTTTTTGTTTCAGAAGTAACTTTCTTCTCAGCCTTCTTTTTTTCCCCTTCTTTTTCTAGAGAAGAAATTTGAAATGTTTCCTTTAGGGAAATTTAGTATGAAAGCAAAACCAAGGTTGAAATGTAGGATTTTTGTTAAGTTAGTTCTGCCTCCAACTAGCTTAGTGACGGAGCGGCAATTTAATCTCACTAAACCTTATTTTCCTCATATATAAAATAATAATATCTCCCTCAAAGTTAATGTTTACAAAACACTCTGTACAGTGCCTGGCTCACAGTAAATGCATAATTGTACTGCTAATACTATTTACACATAATGAACAAGATAGTTTGAGCTTTCTGAACTAAACAGTTGTTTAGTGCCTAAAAGTATTGATATATACAATTAAAATATATTTCTTAGAAAATATACCACAGATAAACTAAAAGAATTTTTTCTTTTTATACATTCAATTTCATTAGAAATAATCTATTAGGCCATTAAAAACGTATCTATTTTGAGGTGGCTGTTTTTCATATCTGGCTCTTGTCAACAAGCATTTAAGCCTGGTGACAAGTGTCTGGCAGTGTGTTGGAGACATAACTTCCACTGTCCTTTCTGAGTGGTTTTATCAACAAGGGTGTTCAATCTTTGCACCCAGGGGTTGCAGTAAGTCTGGATCCCACATCAAACTGTTCGTGGTACCTCTAAACTTCATGGAGGAGTTGTGTTTCATAAATCTGAGAAAGCCTTGGTCTGAGGGGAGCAAAGACAGAGAACCTCACACACTGCCCATGCATAGCCACTTTGCAGTTGGACATCCCTGGACACTTTTCTGGTAAGCATAGTTATTTCAAATAACGAAGTCTTGTACTAATGCATAGTTGTTGAAATAGAACGTTAAGTGGTTTTAGATTTGAGGCAATGATAGCTATGATTCATGTTGTAAATTCACTGACTTTTATATTTAATTAAGAGTGCTATTTACCTTATATTTGAAATATCTTTCTCTTTGTGAGTTGTCTCTCATCTCAGATACAGGTACATTCAAAGACTTCTATTACCCAGAACTATTATAAGATTATTATTATGCTAAAGAAATTCAATATGTAGTTCTAGAATGAATGCGTAAGTTGTCTACTAGTGACTGCATATTATTAAATATAGGAATTAACTAGTTCCCTTAGGGATAGAGCTTTTTTACCTACAAGGTCAAAGACAATACTTTCTTTCAATGTTAGAAGTAAAATTTATAGAGAATCCCTTTCAGGACTTCTAGAGATAATCTAATGTCGCAGGGAAAAATGTATTCACACTTTGTCTAAATGTGTGTACAGCATACTATTTAAAGCTCATCCAATCAGAAGTAGAAAGTCAAGAAGTCAAATTTTGATAGCTCCAGACATAGAAATAAACCAATTGAATTCCGCTTTTCCTTTTCCTAAAGGTTTATGCATATTAAACGTGTGGATCATATTTAAAATTCTGAATAAAGATATTTTTAAGTATCACTACATTCAGCTTCTCTGGGAGATATTTTGTGTAGTGGTAAATTTTACATCATCTCTAGATAAATGCATATGCCAGATAATTGAATGGACATTTGCTAAGCATCACCTCTGATGTCATGTATCAGAAAAAGGGTTAATTAAAATACAGATGACTTGAAAATATTTCTAAGCTCATGCTAAACACCAATGCCATAATCACCATAAAATCAGAACTCACTATCCAAGTCTCCATATTTCATAAGGTTGATGCATAAATATTTCATTAAAAAGCTTGTGCCAATTAGTCAGTCTTACACTGAACTTCACAAAGAAAGTAGATATATGAACCCAGAAGATGGAAGGCATTCATTTCTTTTTCTATTTTTTTTTTAAGAGAATACCCTTGTGTAATAAATTCTACCCTTCAAATTAATATATCTGGAATTTTATTGTGGTGATAGAGTATTCTTGTCTTAGTGCAAATTGAATTAATGTTCCCATTATACACTCTGCTTGTGATTACAGTCATACGCCATGAGAGTCATGAATAAGAGCAGAAGTCCACAAAAAGCAGATATAAATAATATCCTTTAATAACGCTTTTATGAATTAGACCTTTAAGCTGTCATTATGAGACTTACTTTATTCATGGTGAATTTCATTTAAAATGTCAACTTCTGAAGATTCTACATTTCTTCAAGCACTATTGTCTCTGTTCTATAGGTGATTTGGCAGTAATGGAATTAATTTTTCACTTATAAAAACATAACAATTTAATTATGTCCTACTTGGATATAAAAATAACTCATGTTTCTTTTATGAAAACTTCCCTGCCCCTGACTTTTTCTTCCTCAACAGCCAACAGTACTCTTCCCTTTCTGTCTACCTGACTTTGAATCCACATAACAAAATTCCTCTTCCATCTCTTTCTCATTGGTTTCCTGGGTTTTTGTTTTTTTTTTTTTCAACAGCTAGAGAAGAAGTAGAGCATTTAAGCCTATTGATGTTCAGAAAGTTAACAATTAAATGTATCTACAGGATGTGAAAGTATCAGACTATTACCTTTCCCTGACAAAAGTATAATAAGCCCTGAAATGATGTTCGCATTCTGTCAGGGATCACAGGAGAATCTGGTTGGGAGAGAAATCTTCCCTACAATGAGCAGCTCTGAGCCACAAATATGTTATTAGTTTCTGCATAAATTAACGTCACATGAAAGAAAAATAAAACGACTTACTTTTTACTTTCTAAGCCCTCACAATGGGCTTTTCTCCTGCTTTTAAATGTTTTTAAGCCATCTCAAAGCCAGACAATGCACAATAGTTAATTACAATTGTAAAGCTTTCTAAGATGCCCGTTCCACGAAGAAACAAATGCAAAATATTTTATTTTTGTCTTACAGTTTGTTCCTCCCCTCTCTGCCCTTCTAATGTAGAGATTATCCTAATTCTGCGTGTCAGAGGGGTGCTTTTCTTCTAACACTCTGGCCAGAATTGATGTATTCCTGGTTCCAGTTAAGTAAACAAGAACTTGTTTCTTTAATAACAAGGCATTCAAACACCTCATCACTGTCACCTTGTTTTCTTAGAGTGGCAGAGATTGGCCTGGAACCCAGCTCACATTATGATCATGGAAAATTTTACATAAGCCTAAGATAAGTTCAGTTACATGAGTGATTATTAGAGTTCTTCCATTGTTACCTACAGAGGGTTGTGCAGCACAAGAGAAAGCACAGGTGCTGGCATTGATGACCTTGGACATCCATTCTGTCCATTACTCTTCCTAGTTGTGTGACCTTGGGCAATGTGCTATGGCACACTGAATTTCACTTTCCTCATTTGAAAAGTGGAGCTAATAAAATCTACCTTGCTTACTTGTGAGAAATGGAGATAACTGAGCTAAAATGCCTGGAACAGAGGGCTGTTGAAAAATAATGGTAATAATGACAAGCTATTACTATATTTTGTTATTAGTTAAAATCTGACCACATATAATCTTATAAGGTAATTTTTAGGTGTGACCTTTATTGATCTCTTTAAGAAAACACAACTTTATTCTTATTTTTCTATATCCAGTGAGTGTATGTCTAGAATACTTTGTATTGAGAAACTAAAGGAAAACAATACCTAGAAGCAGGACGGAAATATGTTATGAAGGGTGCTGTGCTGCAGTGAAGTGGATTCAAGTCTCAGTTTTGCTGTTAACAGTAGCCACCGCCTTATGCAACTATAGATGAATGCTGTATCTTCTTCTTCAACCACAGAGGCCGAGAAATGAGTAGAATGTGTTTAAGTCCCTTTCACCTGTTTATTCCTTATTTACCAAGTGAAATAAATGCATCATCTTGTATTTGTTTTCTGATTTTTCTGGGATTAGGTAACTTAAAAAGAGTTGCACATAGCTATGATATGTTGTCTGGTTTTGATATGGCTAAAAATCGTTTAAAACAAGAGAAAATGAGTATGTATACATATACTATATATATCTATAATATATAGTATATGTATATATAGCATATATAATATGTAGTATAATATGTCTATATATACTATATAGAATGTATAGTATATGTATATATACTATATATATATAAATGGGACAGGCGATGATAAAGGTTACAAAAAGCAAATAGAAAAGCTTGATTTGGAGAATTAAAGCCTGAGCGCGTAGGAGGTGGCGTGGTTTGTTTTAAAGGTGGATCAGGGTAAACCTTTCTGAATGAACAACTGGAAAGATTATTTTAAAAAGTGGAAGAGCTTTGGGCTATTAGGGAGAAGACTTTTCAGCATAGGAAAAATCTCTGCAGAGACCCTGAAATGAGAGCATGCCAGATAAATTCAAAGAAGAACCAGTGCCATTGAGGCCAGAGCTGAGGATTCAGAAGGGGAGTGCTGACTGCTGCGGCCGAGGTGTAGCAGGGCTGATCTCCTAGAATCTTGTTGTTCATGGTATGAATTTTCCATTTCCCTGTGAGTCACATAGGAAACCACTGAGAGGTTTAAGAAGAGAAGTCATACAACTCTGAGTGATGGTTTAAGAAAACCTTTGTCTGTTGCTGGGTGATATCAAGTGTCTCGTTAAATTTTGTGATCAAATTTTAAGGGAGAAGACTTAGGGGAAAAGTAATTCAGAATAAATATTCTTCTTCTATTTTTTTTTTCAAAAATATCCTTGGAATTTTATTTGGGACTCTGAAAGGCATGCAACTTTATAGAAACATAAAGAGTTCCTCCCTTCACATTGTAATTAGGTTGCTATGACAGCAAAACTTTTTAAATTAAGGACTTCACTTGAGTTACGTGGCATAACTAAGCTGGCCTTTCAGACTCTGAATCTATTTTCTTTGCCTTGACTTTTCTTTAATGATAGCTGAATTATTCTCAGAAGTTCTCTCTTCTCATTATCAGCTGTTAACAACAAACAACTAACAACCAGCTATTCTACAGTACTTTCCATTGACTACACAAGACCTTTACTAATACAATTTAGTCACATAAATCAACAAATGCTTATCTAGTCTTATGCCAAAATCCTTTGCCAGTGTTTGGAGTTTTAAAAACCTCCTCCAGTAATACCAGGTGTGAGAGCGTGAAGTGAGAAAGTTCAGAATTACAATAAGGACTTTGTGAAAGAGTAGAAGTGAAGCATGTAGGAGTCAAGAGAGGCATGCAACCCTGCTCAGCTGAGTGGAGTGGGAAGCTACTCCTGGGGGATACAACCTCAGACTGAGTCTAAAAGGGACTGAGGGGCCCACCCTGAACCGCACATAGCATGTTGTTATCAATAGTTGAAGGAACTGAGGTACGGTCATAGCTCATGTCTTGCAGATACAGTTGAGAATTCAGTGCCCTAGTGTAAAGGACTCTAGGTCTCATCTGTTTAAATTCAAACTTCTTCAAGGTGTCATACTACAGGCAGTGACCCAAAACTGTGGCCACTATACTGCATTCTGGGCGACAGAGCAAGGTCTGTTTCAAAAAAAAAAAAAAAAATGGCGATTGTAAATTTTAGCTGTAGATCAACTACAAGAACAAACCAGCAATCCTGAGAGGACCTGCAGACCCTCTGAAGGAAGTGGACTGCTTCTGCAGGGCCCAAGAGACACCCCAAATGCTGAGAGTGCCCCAAATGTGGAAGTGGGAAAGGGAGACCCTCCTCTCTCGAACACACACCCCCACTGTAGAAACTGAAGGTCTTTTTGCAGGAGAACTTTCTGAATTTACCTGGAGCTGAGTCAATTTAGACAGCTGAGCAAAATTAAGGGTAGAGGAAGCAGCAGAAAGGCCCTGGGAGCTTGCTGGGTCCCCTAGCAGGCCATTCCTGCCTGGCACCACAGGGATCCATCAGGAGGGTGACCAGAGGAGCAGGGGGTAAAACCACAAGGAGAAGGAATTCTCTAGTTGAACTCTGTAACAGTTTGAACAGGGTGAGAAGCCTCCTGGCCCAGAACTCAGGAGAGGGTGCAAATCTGGTATGCAGGCTCCACAGGCAGGGGAAGAACCAAGCCCTTTTCTTTAGCAGCTGAGAGGTGGGTATCCTGGGGCAAGTTTTCAAGCGCATCTCACCCTCCACCTGGAAACAGACTCAGGGCTGTTGGGTGGTAGAGCATGGTGGGGGTGAGAATGGCCCTTTGGTTTGCATGGGAGCTGGGTGAGGCCTGTGACTTCCGGCTTTCCCTAATTTCCCTGGCAACCTGCATGGCTCAGCAGAGGCAGCCATAATCTTCCTCGGTACACAACTCCATTGACATGGAATCTCACCCTCAACCCCCACAGCAGCCACAGCAAGACCCGCCCGAGGAAAATCTGAGCTCAGACATGCCTACTCCCACCTCTACCTGATGGTCCTTCCCTATGCACCATGGTAGCAGAAGACAAAGGGCATATAATCTTGGGAGTTCTAGGGCCCCAACCACCACTGGTTCATCTCCATTCGACTGCAACTGATACTCTCTGGAAAGCTCCACCTTCTGGCAGGAGGCCAACCAGCACAAAAATAGAGCATTAAACCACAAAAGCTAAAGACTCTTATAAAGTCCACTGCACTCCCCTGCCACCTCCACTGGAATAGGCACTGGTATCCTTGGCTGAGAGACCCACAGATGGTTCACATCACAGGACTCTGTGCAGACAACCCACAGTACCAGTGCAAACCTGGGCTGACTCACTGGGTGGCTAGACCCAGAAGAAAGACAACAATTACTGCAGTTCTGCTCACAGGAAGCCACATCCATAGGAAAAGGGAGAGAGTACTACATCAAGGGAACACCCATGGGACAAAAGAATCTGAACAGGCTTCAGCCCTAGACCTTCACTCTGACAGAGCCTACCCAAATGAGAAGGAAACAGATAACGAACTCTGGTAATATGACAATACAAGGCTCCTCAACACCCCAAAATATCACACTAGTTCACCAGCAAAGGATTCAAACCAAGAAGCAATTCCTAATTTACCTGAAAAAGAATTCAGGAGATTAGTTATTAAGCTAATCAGGGAGGCACCAGAGAAAGGTCAAGTCCAGTGCAAGGACATCCAAAAAGCTATACAACAAGTGAAGGGAGGAATAGTCAAGGAAATAGATAGCTTTAAGAAAATCAACAACTTGGGAAACTTTGGACACACTTTTAGAAATGTGAAATGTTCTGGAAAGTCTTGGCAGTAGAATTCAACAATTAGAAGAAAGAAATTCAGGGCCCTAAGGCAAGGTCTTCAAATTAACCCAATCCAACAAAGGAAAAGATAAATGAATAAGAAAATATAATCAAAGTCTCCAAGAAGCCTGGGTTATGTAAAATGGCCAAATCTAAGAATAATTGGTGTTCCTGAGGAAGAAGATAATTCTAAAAGCTTGGAAAAAATATTTGGGGGAATAAATGAGGAAAACTACCCCGATCTTGCTGGAGACCTAGACATCCAAATACAAGAAGCGCAAAGAACACTGGGGAAATACATTGCAAAAAGCTCATCACCTAGGCACATTGTTATCAGGTTATCTAAAGTTAAGATGAAGGAAAGAATCTTAAGAATTGTGAGACAGAAGCACCAGGTAACCTCTAAAGGAAAACCTATCAAATTAACAACAGGTTTCTCAGCAGAAATCCTACAAGCCAGGAGGGATTGGGGCCCTATCTTCAGCCTCCTCAAACAAAACAATTATCAGCCAAGAATTTTGTATCCAGTGAAACTAAGCATCATATTATGAAGGAAAGATACAGTCTTTTTCAGACAAATACTGAGAGAATTTGCCATTACCAAGCCACCACTCCAATAACTGCTAAAAGAAGCTCTAAATCTTGAAGCAAGTCCTGGAAATATATCAAACCAGACTCTCTTAATGTATAAATCACATAGGCCCTATAAAACAACAATTTAAGTTAAAAAGCAAAAACAAAAAACCCAAAACACACAGGCAACGAAGAGCACAATGAATGCAATCATACCTCACATTTCAATATTAACATTGAATGTAAATGGTCTAAATGCACCTTCTAAAAGATACAGAACCAGAGAATGGATAAGACATCACCAACCTACTATCTGCTGCCTTCAGGAGACTCACTTAAGACATAAGGACTCACATAAACTTAAAGTAAAGGGGCAGAAAAAGGCATTTAATGCAAATGAACACCAAAAGCAAGCAAGGGTAACTATTCTTATATCAGACAAGACAAACTTGATACCAACAGCAGTAAAAAGAGACAAAGAGGGACATTATATAATGGTAAAATGTCTTGTCCAACAGGAAAATATTACAGTCCTAAATATATATGCACCTAACACTGGACCTACTAAATTTATAAAACAATTACTAATAGATCTAGGAAGTTAGATAGACATCAACACAAAAATGCTGGGGGACTTTAATACTCCACTGACAGCACTAAACAGGTCATCAAGACAGAAAGTCAACAAAGAAACAATGGATTTAAACTACACCTTGGAACAAATGGACTTAACAGATACATACAGAACATTTCATCCAACAACCACAGAATACACATTCTATTCAATAGTGCATGGAACTTTCTCCAAGATAGATGGAAACTAAAAAATTTTTCAAACTGAATGACAATAATAACACAACCTACCAAAACCTCTGGGATACAGCAAAGGTGGTGCTAAGAGGAAAGTTTATAGCCCTAAATGCCTACATCAGAAAGACTGAAAGAACACAAATTGACTTCTAAGGTCACACCTCAAGGAACTAGAGAAACAAGAACCCACCACACCCAAATCCAGCAGAAGAAAAGAAATAACCAAGATCAGAGCAAAACTAAATAAAATTGAAACAACAAGAAAAAAATACCAAAGATAAATGAAACAAAAAGCTAATTCTTTGAAAAGACAAATAAAATTGATAGACCATTAGCAAGATTAACCAAGAAAAGAAGAGAGAAAATCCAAATAACCTCACTAAGAAATGGAGACATTGACACTACTGAAATACAAAAGATCACTCAAGGCTATT